GAGAGAGTCTGGAAAGCATTAGGATGTGCCTCGCGCTCATTTTTTCCACTGCATTCACTGCTGGATGGATGTCGCAGCGCCGAGAGGCTCCCGCACGCCGCTGTACCCACCGATCCGGTGTGGCAACAGGGATTCAATGAATGAGCTGGGACTGCTGGGATGGAGCGACCTGGCCAGCGACTACACCAGCGCCCCCGCTGCCCCCAGCAGGTTCTCACCATTAAGACGGGGCAGCAGGATACTGGAAGCGTAGATGTTCATGATGGACTGCAGTGTTCGCACCTGGGGAGCAGAGAGAGGGGGAAGGCAAAGAGCTGGAGCCTGCAGGAGAGCAAGTGACCAGGCTCGGAGGATAATTAGGAGGAGAAACAGAGAGGAGGAGCGGGGCTGGGCTGGGCACTCTCTTCACCAGAGCCCAGCGGCTTTGTCTGGCCACGCTGGTGGGGTAGGAAGCGCAGGGGTGGGAGAGGCACAGGCACTGGGTCTGCGTCCTCGCCCACCTCGCAGGCAGCGGCAGGAGGCGTCTGTGGGGTCAGTGTGGGGCCCTGGGTGCACCCCTATGTCCCACATTGGGGGACAGGGGAGAATGAGCCCTCTCCTTGGCCCCCAGCAGCTCTCACCCCTGTGCTGGGGGCTGTGCTCGTGGCCAAGGGATGGATTACCTGGAAAGGGCCCACATCCGAATGCTTCAGAGAGAACCTCATCCTGTGCAGACAGACACGGTGCTGTGAGGCAGCCCCAGAGGGGACAGTGGTCCTCATTAACGGCCATGCTCCCTCCAGCCCCAGCTCATCCCTTCCACACCGGGTCCCCATCCTCAGCACCTCCCCAGCTCTGTCCCCAGAGCCCAGAAGCACCCCCAAGCACCCCCTGTACCTGCCCACGTTGAGGCTCCCAACTATGTGGCCGGATCTCACGTTGACGACAGCAGACACGTTGCCTGTCTGGGGAGAGAGTGCAGGCCTTGGGCAGCGCTCATCCCCTCACCCCAAACCAGGCACTTGGGGAACGGCTCTGACCAGCCAAAATGTAATGGGGACACTGCCCATCTGGGGGTGCACGCAGCATTAAAGCTGCCATTTGTCAGCCCGGGTGTTTTTCTCTTGGGGACACCCCACTGCAGCAGGGCTGGGCTCGTTTTGGACGGTGTGTGGCTGCCTGTCCTGGCAGGAGCTCGGCAGCAATGGCTCAGCATCACCAAGGACATGTACAGCCCAGACTCCCATCTTTGCCCCACAGAGGAGGGTTCACCAATGCAGTGGGTCAGCCAGAGCCATGGCTGCACCGGGAGCTGCCCGGCCAGGACCACACTCACCAGGCAATGCCCAAACTCACCAGGCCGAGGAGGAAGAGAGGAGCCAGGCTGGAGTTGGGAAGGATGGCGTAAGCCTGGACATCCACGACAGGCCGGAGCGACAGCCCCTCTGGTCCGATGTTGAGGAAGGGGGCGGAGGGGGCGGACAGCCTGAGCTTCATCAGCATGTCCGGGTACAGCTTCTCCAGCTGCAGAGGGGCAGGGAGAGGGCAGGGACGGTGGCAGAGACCCCCGGCCCTGGGGGAGACCCCCTCGCACAGGGCAAACCCCCAGCCGAGCGCAGCGGGGCTGGACCCCTCACCTGGGGGATGAAGGCTGAGAAGGTGGTGGTGTTCAGGTGGAAGGCAACGGCCTTGGGCATCTGTGGGGGAGCAGTGACACCAGGGCCATGCAGTGATGGAGCCCACGGTGAGATCAGCCCTCCTGCCCCATCCCACGGCCCCCAGCTCTCCAGGGAAGCCCTCTTACACCGCAGGCTGCCCTGGAGCTCCTCTGCCCCCATCCCAGCCACGCTGCTCACCATGGAGTCTGTGATCTCGAAGACCAGCGCCCCGGCTGCATGGTAGGCGCAGCCGGCCGGGTTGACAAAAGCTGGAGGCCCCGAAGTAAACCATGCGGTCGTGATCCGGGGGCAAGGCCAGCGGCAGCGGAGGGAAGGGCACGGCGGAGCGGCGCGCCAGGGAGAAGAACTCGCCCTGGGGGGCAGGAGAGGGGTGAGGCAGCGGAGCACAGCGTGGGGGGACTCGCCGTGGTTCCCCATCGCCCGTGGCCACGGCGTTGGGCAAATCCAGCTCTCCCAGGGCAGCCTCTCACCTTCAGGCCCACGTCCAGGGACTGGGCGGTAGCAGTTGGGGGAGCCACCAAGGAGTAGTCGATGCCAGCCATGGCATCTATCCTGGCCATGACTGCAAAACACGGGGAGACGGGTGAGCAGGGGGAGACGGGATAGCTGGGAGCAGGAGATGGGAAAGCCAGGACCCGATGGGAAAGCCAGGACCCGACGGGAAAGCCAGGAGCAGATCTCTTCCCCTAACATCCAGGCAGTGCCATGCCCAGGCTTCCCAGTGCCACAGCTCAGCACCAGCTTCATTCACCAAGCAATAATCCCAATTCCCTCCCGGCTCTGTCTCTCAGCCCTGTGGACTGACTGTGGGCCGAAGGGGTGCTCTGGGTGCCCTGGCTGCTCCCACCAGCACCAGGCATGGCTCACTGGGGGCCGGATGGGGTGCATGGTGACCATTCCCCAGCTCGGATGCAGGAGTACACGGGAATGGGCACAAGGCAGAGCCCCATCCCCGTGGCTGTTCAGCATCACCCCCCAAGCCCCGGTACCTGGCAGGGTCCGCAGGTACGGCTGGAGATCGCTGCGCACGGAGGCGGCCGCGCTCTCGCAGACCTGCGGGGTAAGAAGCAAAGCTGAGCAGGGCAGTGTGGCCTGGGGGGGCAGTTCACACTCCCAGGTCAAAGCCTCAGCCCTGTGCTCTGCTTCCCTGCCCAGTACTGGTTTTATTTCTTCCCATTAGTGAGGGGTTTCATTGCAGGCTAAACACCAACCCAGGAATTGTACTGCAGGGCACCGTGCTGCAGCCGCTGGGATGCTCTGTGCCAACTCTAACAGCACGTTCCCCACCATGGCACAGGAACCCCCAGCAGGACCAGACCACGTCCATCTGCCCGATGCTGATCGGGAGGGACAGAGCCTTGGGCATGGCCTGACCGCAGGGGGTTGCTGTTTTCCCTGTGCCCAGCTGATACTGGGTATTCCTCTGTGCTGGAAATGCCCCATCGCTGCATGGGGGCTGCAGATGGGTGAACACAGCCCTGATCCCAGTGATGGGGGATCTCCCAGTGACCAGGGATCATCCAGTGACTGGGATCTCACTGGCACCGGGGGCATGAGGGGAGCTGGTTTGGGAGCAGGCCGTGCCCAGGGGTCCCAGTGCAGCGCACCCCTCTCCTGCCCATCACCCCTCGCACCACCTCACACACAGAGAAGGACACTGAGAAATTGGGCAAAGGGGACTCTGGGGCAGTGCAGAGGAGCCCTTGGCATCTCTTCCAGGAGGCAAAGCAGCAGGAAAAGCCTGCGAGCCCTAGCAGTGCTCCTGCTGCCAGCCCATCTGCTGCCACCGGGCAGGACGGGATGCGCTGCGGGAGCGGGATCTGCTGCTCTCCAACAGCTCCTTCCCGAGCAGGGGTCAGGTCCAGGCGCCGCAGCGCGTGCCAGTCGGCCTTGTACCAATTACTGCTGACAGCTTGTTCCGTGTCCTGCCGCGGGTCCCCTGCACGAAGGCGTTTGTTCGGGGCACGCAGTCCCTCCCGACGCACCCCGTCAGAGCCAGGCAGCGGCTGCCAGCAATCCAGGAACGGGAATTTGCCCCCCCCCCTTCTCCCCAAATCACACAGGAGCGCGGCCGTTTAAAGGAGAGCTCTGAGCAGGTTTCCTCTGTTACAGCCAGCTTGGCCGAGGCACGAGATCCAATTAACTGACCACATGGAAAGAGGAGTCTTTGTTAATTAGGAGCCGGTTATGCTGGGCTCTGGCAGAGGCTGCAGGTTGTTAATTCAGCCCGAGCCACACGATGCGATGCAGACAGCTGTGAGAGGTGCCAATTGCTCCGGTTTTCACCGAATCGGCCCCGTGCCCGTGTGCCCTGGCTCCGGTTTCCTCCCTACGCGTGCTGCCATCCCTCCAGCACAGCGAGGGCAGAAATCCCGCAGCTCTGCCCTCCTCGCCCACGTACCTTGGTCTCCAAGGACCTCCTGAACGGGCGCTCGATTGCACTGTGGAAGAGGTTGTAAAGCCACCTACGGGGAAAAACAGAGGGGAACCCTGATTCTCCAGCTCGGGGCTGCTGCAGGAGCATTTGCCAGGAAAGGGAGACGCTGGAGATGCAGGACACTGGGGAACATCATTCCCATACCAGTTTGGCACCTGGGCCTGCCTCAGGGTTTGCATTTGTGAACAGGTCTGCTTGTAAACCACACACCCCGAGCGACTCCCTTAAATCTGCCTTAAACGTGCAGCCAGCGCGGGGCAAATTCAGGCCAGATTTCGGATCATGCAGTTGCACATCTGGACGGGAACTACACCGCCAGGGTCTGACCGGTGTACACCACCCAACCCTTTGCACCAGGGGAGCACAGTCCCATGGGGCCAGGCAAACACCCGGCGTTCCCAGCCTCACGGTGACGTTACGTACCCCAGCCTGCCTGAAAAGCGCACCCGGACTTGGGAGATGCGGGTGCTGCAGTCCGAGGTGTCAATGGTGGGCTTCCCCGAGGCGTCGCTGCCCAGCCTCAGGCTGATTCTGGTGTAGATGTTCTCCACCTTCACGGCAAACGAGCCGTGGTCGCGGCTGCGGGGACAGAAGGAGGAGAAAGGGACATTTCTCAGTGCCGAGTCCTGGGGAAGGGACCCCAAAATCAGCTTTGGGATGGATCCATCCCGCTCAGGCTCTCCCTTGCGCCGAGCATCCAAAAATGGGGGGAAGTCTTTAAACTTGAGGAACCCAAACTCCAGTGGTACACAACGAAGAGGTAACACTTAAATCGAAAGCAAGTAGGGGAGATGGAAGGGAGACGGGAGAGCTGGTGCACGGCTCCTCCGTCATCCGCCTTGCTCTTGCCACCCACCCTGTGTCACCCATCTCAGCAGCCACTGCCAAGGGAGAGGAGAGGAGAGGAGAAACCCCAGCCCAGACCATGCACGGCTCCTCCGTCATCCACCTCGCTCTTGCCACCCACCCGGTGTCACCCATCTCAGCGGCCACTGCCAAGGGAGAGGAGAGGAGAAACCCCAGCCCAGACCCAGAGCACAGCGCCCGAGCCGGGCACGCACATGAAGTGGAACTTGACCCGCCAGTTCCCGTCCACCTCGGCGAAGGCGTTGGAGATGGCGACCTGCAGGCCCACGCCGGGGACCAGCGAAATCCGCGAGTACGGCAGGTGGAAACCACGCAGGTCCAACCTGTGGAGGGGGAGAGGAAAGGGGAGAGGGAAGGGAGAGAAAAAAGGCACTGGAGAGGGCGCATGGTGCAGCGTCCCCCACTCCTGTCCTGCCCCAATAAAGATCCCTGGCCGGGATGCACTGAGCAGAGCAGCGCTTCAGAAACGTGGCCCCTGCAGCCCCAGACAGCAGCTCCAACCCCCGCAATGGGAGAGGAGGGGTGCAATGGGGCAGCGAGGAGCTGGGTTTCGCAGGGGCTGGGCTCCTGCTCCCCTGGGCACGGCCACCTCCACCACCTGGGCTTCGATTGCACAAAATCTGCCTGCACCCTGGTTCCCTTTTCCCTCTTTGGTGAAGCAGGAGCATCTCTGCCTGCACCCAGGACAGGGCCACCACCCCGGGGAGCTGCCGGGGGTCCCCGTTTGCCCTCAGCGAGCGGCGCCGGCCGGGCCCACCTGGAGACGTCGTAGTGCACCCTGCCCATGGGGTGGATGCGAAAGTCACCCGAGATGTCCGGCAGCTTCAGCTGGGCCAGCTCCTTCTCCAGGATGGCCACCCCGTGCTGGTGGGCTGCAGGGATGGGGAGGGGGTGTCATGGCCACACAAGTCCCACTGAGCCAGGAGTGTGACAAAGGGGTTAAAGGGAATGGCGCTTTCCACCCCTGGGTTATCCCCAAAGCTGATGTGGGTGCACAGAGCCCTGTGGGCACATGGCCACTGCCCGGCTCTGCCCGCTCGCCCCAGGGGAAGGTGATGCCCGGGAAATGGAGAGAGGTCCCATCCTCAGGTGCGTGGGAAGTCCTGGGCACTGCTCCATGTCCAAAGCCGGATGGAGCC